AGCTTAGCTTGGAAAATGGAATGCACTTCTTCCTGCGTTTGCCTCCTCCTGAAGAAGTTCCTGGAGTCTGACATTCTGCGTTGCAGTCGCAGGCTGGTGGGCTTCTCGTGTGCAGGAGGGGCAGTGCCTTATGTCGTTTTCCCATCACTGAGCTGAAGACAGCACATGCTGTGGTTTGTCTGAGGTTGTGTATGTGCGTAATCTCAGTGGTTGCTTACAAGATGATTTTCCCCAGAGTCATTTAGTTTTGGGGTGCTGGGAAGTTGGAGTCTTGCCAGGTATTTTCATTTTTGATCATTATTTTCTTCTCATTGGCAAGCTCCTTCCTTCTCGTTCTCTGCATGTCTGTTTTAGAGTGAGATGAATGGGGCTAGTTTCAGTCTTGGTAGAAAGTGGGTCACCTTCTCTCTCTGAGGGAGGTCCTAGACCAATGAGTGTTACCGTAACTAGAGATGGCCACCAAGGCCATCTGTTTTCTGGTGTGTATCTGTTCTTTCTCCCCACTCTCTGCCCTCTTGTGTGATTGGCTGTAAGGTGTGCTGGGGCTAGTGCCAGTGGTGCTGCCCACCTTGCCTGGAAGGCCAGCTTCAGTGTGAGCAAAGAGTCATGGTTTCAGGTCTTGCGGGGTGGCTTGGGTTTACTTCCTGCCAGCTTTGCCCCCTCTCTGGGTGGCCTGAGCTTCCCGTGGCAGGATCCATGTCCCTGAGCCTTGGCTCAAGACAGAGCAGGTGCCCTGACTGGCTGGGGGATGGGGGTGCCCTCAGTCATGTTCTCATGGGGGAATGCCAAAAGGCTGAGGGGGCACAGTAGCACCCAAGGTACCAAACAACAGCTTGTGTTGGTGCTGCCCATCTCTGAGCGTCAGAGTAGGTTTTGTGACACGTGAAGCCTCGGGGGTCTGGGGACTGAGGGTAGGCGGCATACAGCAGAATGTGCACTAGGAGGAGGAGGGCAGGCCCGGAGCTTAGCATTGTCTGCCTCCAGAACCTGTGTCCCACAGCCCCTTCTTCAGGCTTCCAGCGGGTTCTGGTTCAGGTGAGGGCAGATTTTCGTCTCCTGGGGACCCCATGGAGGTTTCACAGGGAAGCCAGGGGACTGGATCTCTGGCTAGCCTCCCTTTATGTGTTAGTGGTTCCTGTTGTCCAGGGAATTATTCCTAAGGACTGTTTCTGTTCTAACTAGGATTGAATTAAAATAGTGGTCCCTGTTTTCAGGGCTAGATTTCTGTTTTCCTCAGATTTTGTTGCTGTGGCCAAAATACCCTACAAGAACAGCTTAGAGGAGGGAAGGGTTATTTTGGCTCACAGTTCCAGAGGTTCAGTCCATGGTGGGCAACTCCATGGCTCTGGGCCCATGGCCAGGCAGGACATCATGGCAGAGGGCATGGAGGAGGAGTGCCATCCATTCAAGGCAGCCAGGAAGCAGCCAGAGAGAGAGCTGGGAGTACTGGGGACAAGTATGTACCCCAAAGGCACACCCCCAGCCTCACACTCTACTTTCCTATAGCTACCACATTAATCCATTTTGATGATTAACCCATCAAGTGGATTCTCATAATCGAGTCGTCTTACTCTTGAGCTTCATTGTCCAGCATGAGCTTTCAGGGACAACTCATATCCAAACGATAACAGGCTGGAGCCTGAAGTTTGAACCAGTGCTCCTGTGATGGGCAGAATACTGGCCACAGAGATGCATCGGTCCTGGGACCCTCGCCTGGCTAAGGGCTCTGCAGGTGTGGAGGAAGTTGGGGTCCTCGTGGGGAGGTCGTCCTGTGTTAGTCCAGCCTGAGGGAGGAGGCAGGACCTCTGCCTGCTGACCCTGGGGCTCCTGACAGGCCATAGATCCTCTGTACTGGGACGGCAGTCCATGCCTGAAAATTCCCGAGGTTTTCATCCTCAGCCCTTTTAGGGTTGGAATCCTGTTCATGTTTGTGGTGTCCTGTCCACTGTGTGTAAGAAGTGGAAGATGGGTGTATGGAAACCAGGAACCCTGTGCTGACGTGCTCACCACAGTGCTGCTCTTCCTGCCAGCGTCTGTACATCCCACACTAGGACCTTGGGTCGGAGTGCACGCTGGGGCTACCCAGGAACAGGGGTGGGTGATGCCTTGTGTCATGGCAGACTCAAGTCCTGGCACAGTGATCATGAGCCGGAGTGGTTCAAGGAGAAACTTCAGAATGACCTTGTTTCAATAGAACAGTCAGATGGCCTGAAAATAAGAGGTAAACATTTTCCCACCATCTTTTATAGGATTTTTAAATTTGAAGTTTGCAAATTCAATTTGCAAGGTGAGATTAAGGAAACAACGCAGGGCGGGTTTGATTTAAAGATTATGTATTTGTTGTCTAAGTGTGAAGAACATGCAGAGTGCACGTTTGCGGTACGACATTTTTGAGTAGCTCTGGTATCTGCAGGCAGTCTGCAGGGCTGGTGGTAGGGTCTGATTGCTGTTTGGTGTTTTGGGGTGGAGGTGGGGCTGTTTCCCATGAGATGAAATGCTTCCTGGCAGCACATGGTTCTGCCTGTCAGCCCCAGACCTGGGGTTGACTGGGCCTCTTCCGTCATGGCCCTGGCCCCCCACCCACGTCACCCCCATGACTTAGGAGCCATAGGAGTGACGGCACAGATCACCACCATCTTTGGCCCACTGCTTGCCATCATCTGAGGCTGCTTCCAGCAAGACATTTGCTGGAATAGGCTGGAGGGGCTGGAGGCTCAGAACTGCACCTAGTTAGAGTACCACCCCCAGGGCTGGGTGTTGTGAGAATGATGCCTCGTTGTGGGCATACTGCTGGCTGACACAGTTGAGCTGACTTCAGTCATTTTATTTATTTATTTATTTGAACCAGGGTTTGAACCCAGGGACACTTAACCACTGAGCCACATCCCCAACCCTTTTTGAGATAGGTCTCACTAAGTTGCTTAGGGTCTCACTAAGTTGCTGAGGCTGGCCTTGAACTTGCAATCTTCCTGCCTCAGCCTCCTGAGTCCCTGAGATTGCAGGCATGGCCATCATGTGAGACTGCTTTTTAAAAATCTAACTCTGTTTATGATGTATTTTTTCCTTTTAAATTTGTCATAGGAGTTATTTGAATAACAAAATTGTGGCCTGAAGTCAGGTGATTGGATCATCTGACATTTCCCCAGCTCTTAGCACTCAGAGCTCCAGGGAGGAGCACCTGTCTGTGGTGGGCCTCTGGGTGGTCGTTCCGTCTGCGCGGGGGCTCAGAGCAGCAGTCTTGGGACTGAAGGGGTGTGTGGGATGGTGCCCTCTGTCTGGCTCGGGCCCCTGGGACAAGGCTCATCAGTCCTCACCTCCCTGGTCCCACCTGCTGCCACTGTCCCCTCCCGGTGTGCGTGTGCTAGCCACAGTGACTCTCCTGATGACTCTGCCTGTGCGACACGTCGTCCTGTTCCAGCCCACCCTGAGCTTCAGCCTCATCACCTGGTGCCCTGCTGTCTGTTACCCCAAACTGAGGGCTCAAGGGACAGTCAAGGTGGAGCTTGTCCCTACAGCTTGTGCCCGTTGTCCTTAGTGTCAGCTAGGGAGGCCTGGAGGCTGAGGCTGAGGCTGAGGCTCACTGACTTGCAGGTGCCCCTCCTCACTCCCTGCTCCCTCTCGCCTGGTGTCACCGGGCCCTGGCTGGCACACCCACGGCGACTCCTCACAGGCCTGGGTTCCCTCACAGCATGGCTTCAGGTTCCCAGGGCGAGCACCTCTGGTGAGTGTGGAGGAAGCTGCTTCTTCCTTGGGACCTAGTCTTGGAAGTCGACAGTCTGCTTCCATGGACTGGAGCCAGTGTACCTCTCCACCTGGCAAGGACCTGGAGGGTCTGAGGAAGCTGTGGGCAGACATGGTGCCAGCCACATCAGGGTCCTGGTGCCTGCTGGATCCCTGCTCAGCATGGAGTACAGGGTTCTTGGAAGCATTCCCTGGTGTCAGCCTCGGACATTCCTCCCATCTGTCTTCAGATGTTCTCAAGTGTAGTGGCTCTGACCATCTGGCCTTCCAGGTGGGAAACATTGGGTGGTGCAGGTGTGTCCAGGGGAATCCAGGTGGGTCTTGCCTAGGTACCGGATCTGTCTTCCACCCCTGGGCTCTTACTCTGGGTACGTTTTATGCCAGAATGTCCCAGCATGTTCTCTCCCTTCCCCTTTCAGTGGACCTGATCTTTAGAAGAGGTGCCCGTGGGCAGTGAATTGGCCAAGCCCATGGTGCTGGGTATTGACAGGTGGGAAAGCTGCCTGGGTGTGCTGCCCTCGGGTGGCGAGCAGAGTGGCCTTGCATCTAGGCCGTGGGGCTCCTCTGTGTCTGCATTGGCCTGTTTGTTGTGACAGCTGACTTTAAGGTGTCGTCCACCATGGTGGGGCAGGAGCTCAGCTCCTAACACCCTCTGTCCAGCTGTCTCCCTCCAGGACCACATGAGGCTTTGCTGAGCTGCCTAGCATCCTGGCCATGGAGGGCAGTGCAGCAGGATTGACCATGACTGACCTTGGGAGCCCCGGCTATCTCTGTACTGTGGCCCGTCTCTTTTATGTCGAGTCAGCTGTCCTTTGGTGGTGGACAGGTCACTGCATGTGTCCCAAAGCTATGCTATCAAGCAGCCTGTGGGCGCAGCTGGCACAGTGCTGGCCGGGGACTGGGTGGAGCTGGCCCTGTGGCTGCCCCTGGGGCACCATGGAAGCTCCATGCTGCCTGATTTTAGAGACAGTGACAAGGGGGCGATGGAGTCTTCGCTTTGTTTCCTCTGTTCACTTCCTTAGGATAATGGGAAAGGGTAGGCTTGGAGAATGGTTTAGAAAGTGAATTTCCAAAGCACAGAAATGGAGTTCTTACAGTCCTTCTGTTCCAGTGTGTGTGTGTGTGTGTGTGATCAAGAAATCCACAAAGGGCTGGGAACCTCAGTCTGCGGTGTTGAAACCAGTCTGTTTTTGTCTTTCTCTTTCTTCCTTATTTCCTCCCTTCCTTCCATCTTTGTTCTTCTCTCTTTTTGAATGAAGCTGGAGACAGCAGGGATGAAGAGCCCAAAGCCCCGCCCAGGCGGTCCTATCTGGGTATGTACGCTGCATGAGGGTGCCCCCATGGGCGTCCCTGTCACTTCTCACCTTTGTCTGCCAGTTCTTCCTCTGTGCTTCCTCCCACGGTGCATGCTGTGTCTCCTGAGCTAACCAACCCCTGGCTCTGCTGCCCCAAGCATGAACCCTTCTTCCTTAGAAGCCCATCCATTTTCTGAATGGGGAGGAGGAGATGGAGGGAGGGAGGAAGAAGGTGGAAAGAAGGAAGGAAGGTAAGGAAGAAGGGAATGAGAGGAAGGAGAGAAGGATGAAGGAAGGAAGGAGGGAGGGAAAGCAGGAGGATGGAAGGTGGGAAGGAAGGAAAGGAAGGAAGGAGAGATGGATGGGAGGGAGGAAGGAGGGAGGGAGGAAGAGGCCAGTGTCTCCTCCATTCCATCCAGCATCCTTCACTGCTGCCTGGTGGAACTGAGTCTTACATAACCTCCTGTGTTGTGCGGCTTTGCAGAAGTCTGCTCACCCTAGCTGATCTTTAGTGGATTGCTTAGGATTCGCTGTGATCCTGTCATCTGTGAACACAGACTGCATCTTTTTTCCTGATCTGGCTATTTTTCATTTCCTGCTGGACTGCTTGGCTGGACCTGGTACGAGTGGACACCCCATCCTGCTCTTGGGCTTGTGAGGCCTCCGTTCTTCTAAACTGGTGTTAAAGGTTTGCAGGTGCTTGGCTGAAACTGTGGAGTGGCCACGTGGCCTTGGCTTTTCCTCTGATGATGTGGAGAATCATTGGCTGACTTTGTGTGCTGAGCCACTCTTAAATTCCTGGTGGTGTGTTAAATGCTTCTACGTGTTGCCAGGTGCTGTTTGCTCTAGGTGGGAGGGTATCTGTGTCCATGTCATAAAGATGTGAGAGTGCAGTTTTGTGGCTACGACTTGGGACTCAGGGTAATAATGACCATAGGACGTGAGTGGGGAGGAAGGAGTTCCCTTCCACTCTGTTCCTTACATGAGTTTGAGAAGGATTTGCATCAAGTAGTCATCTGGGCATAGGGTTTCTCCCGGGAAGATTTGAATGAACTCACACTCTTATAAATGCAGGCCTGCTTTGTTTCTTCCTGCAGCAATTGCAGTTGCTTGTCTGTGCTAGTATCTGTCCATTCCCTTGGTTTGTGTATGTGTGTTCAAGAGATACACAAAGGGCTGGGAACCTAGGTACTGCTCCCCTGTGGGATTCTGTCCATTCCCTCCGTTTCCCTGGGTTTCTCCTGGTGGAGATTCATATGAGTGATTTTAGCGAGTGATTTCAGTGATTCCCGTTTCCTTACAAATTTCTCCTGTGACCCTGTGTGTTTATGAGCATCTGCAACTTCCACCTGTTTGTGAATTTCCTGAGTTTCTTTTGGACATTGCCTTCATTCTGTGGCATTTGTAGACCATCCTGTGCTGCCAGGCGCCGTGGGTCTCTTCTGGAGAGCAGTCCAGGCTCGCTTGGGAGGTGTGCCCTACCAGGTGCAGGCTCAGGTCTCTTTCTGGTTCTTCACCTAAGTGTTACAAAGCTGATACAAAGTCTCCAGCTGTTTCTGAGTTGACTTCCTTCCTTTCCCTTGTGGTTTTCCTGGTGTGTTCTGGGGTGTGCTTGTGGGATGTGCTTGGTAGGTGCTGTGTCTTCATGTAGAATGACCCTGTCTCTAGTGGTGCTTCTGTTTCAAGCCTACTCTGGTATTAGTGGAGCCATGGGTCTATGTTTGCTATTTGAGTTGTGTATCTTTTTCTGTTCTTTTACACGTTTTTGTATGGGAATCTAAAGGGCATCCTCTGTAGACAGCACATAGGTCTTTAGGAAGTTTATTTTGGCATTCTGATTGCTTATTTGACTCACACATACCGTTGATGTTTGAATTTATATCTGCAGTTTTCCTTCTGCCTTTGAAGTGCCTGGGTGTTCCCCAGCCCTTGTGCCTTTGCAGTTTCTTTTGTAACATTTTAATTCTCGTGTAACATTTTAATTCCTTTAGTGATTTTTAACTACATGTGAGAGTTACTTTCTTGGTAGTTGCTCTGAGGATTGCAGTATGCATTTTAACTCTCCAGAATCTGCTTCAAACACAGCCCAGACGAATTTTAATGAGATACAGAAACTTTGCTCCTGTGCAGTTACTCCCTCTGTGGGAGATGAGGCTACACATTGTGTCCAGGTAGGTCACACACCTAATGGTGCAGTGTTCTGACTGCTGCTTTATGTGGCTACACGTCCTCAGACACTGAGGCACGAGGGAAGAGAGAGAGCAGTTGTTGGTCTCCTGGGTCAGCCCTGCTTGCTCTGCCTCTTCCTTGTCCTCACTGTTAGAGTGACTGCCTCAGTCATCTTTCCAGAACACTCCAGCTGCCCACCTTGGGTGCTGGTGTCGAGGACCTCAAGTTCAGGTTCTTTTCTACAGCTGCTCTTGAGCCGTGGGAGGAAAGCAAGCAGCCTGTGCTTGTCTTTGGGGCAACCTGCGGAATTACCTTCTGGCAGGACTGTGGGTGCTGGCTCTGACTGTGTGCTTCATAGGCTTTCCTTCCCTGCAGGTGGGTCTGTTGACAACAGACAGTCCCGTCCCCTTCCTGTCCTCTGGGGATTTTGTTCTCTTCATTCTCTGGTTTTATTTTGCCCTCCTTTAAGTACAGGGGTTTTGCAGGTGCAGACCGTGGTTGATGATGCCTTCTTTCTGGTGCCTGGCCAGCTGCCTGGGCACTGCTGCTGCTGAGAAGCCTGCGGTGACTCTCATTGGTGCCCTCGCAAGGGACTCCATCTCCCTGTTCTGCTTTCAGGACCCTGGGTTTTTACTGAGTGTCAGCACTGAGACTGAAGTGTGGGGGTGTGGCTGTCTGGGTGTGCAGGCCGGTCTTCTCTCCTCGGCTGCTCCTCTCTCCTCCCAGCAGCCTGCCTGTCGTATGTGCAGGACTGCCACTCTTCCTCTGTCTCATGCTTTGGGCTATGTCATCTTCAGTGATCTGTCTTTTTTTTTTTTTTTTTTTTTAATATTTTAGTTGGACACAATATCATTTTTTTTTTAGAGAGAGAGAGAGAGAAAATTTTTTTTTAATATTTATTTTTTAGTTTTCGGCGGACACAACACCTTTGTTTTGTATGTGGTGCTGAGGATGGAACCCGGGCCGCATGCATGCCAGGCGAGCGCGCTACCACTTGAGCCACATCCCCAGCCCCACAATATCATTTTTATTTTACTTATTTATTTTTCATGTGGTGCTGTGGTTCGAACCCAGGGCCCCACACATGCTAGGCGAGCGCTCTACCACTGAGCCACAGCTCCAGCCCCCGGTGATCTGTCTTTGAGGTCATGCTCTTGCACCAGCTCCGTCTGCTGCCTGGTGCTGGCCGAGAGCCTCTGTGTGTGTGCTTCACCTGGATTCCCACTGGTTCTCCTCACCCTTTCTACCCCTTTATTGATGCTGTTGCTGGGTGCCATCATCGAGTGCCCTTTAATTCTTTACGTTGCTGCAGTTTCCTTGGGTTCTGTGCACATCTGACTGTCTTGAAGGCTTTTTTTTTTTTTCCTGCAGAGTCCAATGCCTCCCCCAAGGCTGTGGGTCCTGCTTTGCGGCTGCTCTCTGCCCTCTGTGCAGGCTACCGTTTCCTGTTCCTTTGTGTATCTCTATTTTGGGTTGTTGCAGATGGACACTTTAGGTAGACATTGGGGGCAGCTGTGGACACTGACCCGTGCCGGGGAGGTTGCTGGCTGTCCTCTGGTTGGGGGATGGGCCTCTGAGTCCTCCTGTAGGTCTGCTGTGTGCATGGGCTCCTGCGTGGTCTGCCCCCAGGGGCACTGCACTCCTCCAACTGCAGCCATTGCAAGGTTGATTTTGGTGGTACCTGGGCAGGTGCTGCTGTGCTTCAGGCTAGTCTTTGAGGATTGCTCTGTCCTGGGAGGGCTCTTTCTGGCTGTGTGGTAAACTGAGCTGGTGCCAGGGCCTCCTTTCTCTTGCTTGCCATGCAGACCCTCATGGTTCCCAGGCTGCCCCTGCTTCATTCTAGTCCCCACCCTTAGCGAGAGCATAGAGCTTTCAATTGATTACCCTGCTCATGGGGCGGAATCTTACACCCCTGTGTGGAGCTGGCCAGGGCAGTGGTGAGTTCCTGAGATGACCCCTACCCTCAGAACACCTGGGGGCCCTCTGGTCTTTTCAGCCTGACATCCTGGTGTGAACTCCATGAGCAAGTCAAGGCCAGGATGGGTGCTGAGTTTTTCTGCCCTGTGAGTGGGGCTGAGAGGCAGGAGCAGAAGGGCTGCTGTTGCTCTTGGCAGCCATTGCCCTGTGCAGGTGATGGGGTAGAGGGAACCTGCTATCTTGGCTGGACACCTGGAGTGGTGCTTTGGTACACGGGCATGGGGTGGGGCGCACGTCATGGCCCAAGGCACACAGCTCTTCCCACCACCATTTAGAAGGTTCTCTGGGGAACGTCTGCATGTGCTGATGTCCAGAGACCTCCCGTGTTAGAGTTTATTTGCTCTTATTTTCTTTCTCCCTCTCTTTCTTTCTTTCCTTGTTATTTTTCTTCTTTTTTCTTTCTCCCTCTATCCCACTTTCAGCCTCCTAACTTTTACTATTTGTACATAGGGTAATTTTGAATTTATACCTACTTCCATAAATTCCCACTGCCTATTCATTAAGAGTTCTCTTACAAAGTTGCTAAGTTAGATTAACCACATACCCTCATTCCTTTCCCCCTTAACACAGCATCCTACCCCTGACACTGAGTTCTCTATAAACCACCAGAAATGGTATGCCTTTTATGTAACTAATGACCATATTCTAAATAATAATTGAAGCCAACACTGTAGACACAGAGTCTAAATATAAATGTATTTATAATGCTTAGATTTAGGCTTCGGGTTCGGGTTAGATTTAGAGTTAGATTTTGATCTATGGTTAGGGCTAGGGCTAAGGATACGGCAAGGGTTAGGACTAATGTTTGGGTTAGGTTTAGTACTATGGTAAGTGATAGGGTTAGAACTAGTGATAGGGCTAGTATGAGAGTT